TGCTGCGAGCTGGGCGAGCAGGCCCCGGCACAAAGGCTGGGAGGCTGCAGAAGCAAACTCCCACGGCCAGGATCGAAATCACGCGCAGAGCCTTTGCCATAGCTTGCTTTCGGTGGTACCTCAACCTGCTCTCTGAATGCCTCTGATCTCGAGCCTAAAGGCCAAAAAAACGACAAGGCTGAATGCAGGCGCCCTTCTCCCCTTACTCATCTCCCAGCTGTCCGCGTTTCGACGAAGGAGAACTGTGCACCACGGGGGACTGCAACCACTGCCACGAAAACCCCTGCTGCATGTCGGACTAACGTAGTGGCAGAAGCCACCTCCAGACACCAAAGCATGACTCACAGCTGGGGCAGTTTCCGGCTGAACAAATGACGATCTCCGAGAAACGGTGAAGTCGCTGAAACTCAAAGATAAAATCGCAGCAGCAGCCTTTAAATTTGTTTACAGGTTAGCTGCCTGCATGCGTTTAGAAAGTGTATGAGATCATGCGACGCATCTCGCGCATGTTCAAGAGGATCAAAAGAAGGCTCAGCGCTGGGACGCCTTGACCACATCCTTGAAGTCCATCAATGCCTGGTAAGCTGCCTTGGCATCCGCCGCATTTACCTTGGACATCATGTAAGGGCCCACATCCTTGCCAAGGTTGAACTTGTTGAAAGCATTGTACACGTCCATGGTCTGGGATGCTGGCACCGAAGCGATCATATGCCCGATGGCCGCATTGATTGCAGTGTAATCGGCAAGAGTCGCGACACCCTTGGAGTCCATGTTGGCAATGGCCTGGCTGTGAGCCAGAGCACCCGATTTTAGAGCTGCGGAGTCCATGGACGCACCCATCTTCAACATGGTGTTGATCGCCTTGAGCACCTCCAGAGGAGGCTGGGTGGGAAGCTTGCCGTAGACATCGGAGGTCCAGTCGATTTCTTTCAAGAAGGGATAAGACTTCTCGGACAGCACCTTTGCTGCGTCGTCGATCTTGTCCGCGAAAGCAGGCGCTGCGCCCAGCATGCTCAGCGCCCCTGCAGCTGCGGGCGCCATGCTGCGAGCTGGGCGAGCAGGCCCCGGCACAAAGGCTGGGAGGCTGCAGAAGCAAACTCCCACGGCCAGGATCGAAATCACGCGCAGAGCCTTTGCCATAGCTTGCTTTCGGTGGTACCTCAACCTGCTCTCTGAATGCCTCTGATCTCGAGCCTAGCAGCCAATGCAGCCCATGCGCCTGAGCAGCAAGGCTGAAAGCAGGCGCCGATTCTGCACAGACTGGCCCCAACCGCGGAGGGAACTCATGCAAACCAAACTCTCAAGACACGGCATGCATAGTGCAAAGAAGGTATACCTTCCAACATCTCTTCACACGAGCACCCAACACACATATATATATATATATATATACATATACACACATAATCACTTACATATATATATATATATATATATATATATATACTATATCATTACATATATATATATATATATATGACTTACATTCATTTAAACATACATACATACGTGCATACATACATACGTACATACATACATACGCACATACCGACATGCGTACATGGTTACGTACATAACTATACAGGCAAACACGCATGTGTGTGCGTGTATGTGCATATATGCCTGTACGTATGCAGAGAGAGGGAGAGAGTACACGTATGCATACATACATGCATACACACGTACACATACCTTTGTATATACATACATATACATCATTATACGTCCATGCATACCTGCAGAGAGAGAGAGAGAGAGAGAGAGAGAGAGAGAGAGAGAGAGAGAGCGACAGAGACAGAGAGAGAGACAGAGACAGAGAAAGAGACAGAGAAAGAGAAAGAGAACGAGAAAGGAGAAAGGAGAAAGAGAGATGACACATCAGCGACGATGTATCTGATGTACACCGTCCAATTGTCAAGCAAAGCTTCCGTGCTGTTTCTCGGGAGCTGCCGTCCAGAGAAGAGATCAGCTTCAGCATCCTCCCAGCCATAGTTTCTGCTCTATCTAATCCAGGCACACCTATACTCTCCGTTGTAGATCCTCTTCTTGGTTCAACCTATTAGCTGTATATTTGGGGTCCCAAGAAGTAACCAAAAGACGGAACTACAATAGAGACTACAGGTAGACCCGAAAGACCCCAGCAAGATCATTCCAGGGATGGTAGTCGGCATCGAACAGCTCGAAACGTGGGTCAGGTTTTCGGTTCTGCAGGCGGGACGCAGGTTTAAGGTTCAGGTTTGAGGGGCTGTTTGCTCGGGTTTGTTTGGGAGTTTGGGATGTTGGGACTTTCCAGTTCCAAGCCGTGCGCAAAGCGCAGGCACATGCCGACTTCTGAAGCAGCCAGGGGTGCCTGGGTGGATGGTAAGGAATGCACCTTAAAATATGGCAGGATCCCTAATCTGATTGAAGGTATATTCCCTAATCAAGGGATATTGGCGTCTCTGGGGAAGCAAAAGGACATTGTCATGAGCCCCGCCTGGGCTCTATTGCGTCCTCTGGGCGAAATCCTCCACTTTCGAAAAGAAAGGGATGCTTTCGCCCATAGGCCTTGTACCTGGGGCGGACATGGCTGCTTCAACAGTGTGCGACATGCTCCGAAAGTTTCGCTCTTCGGCTACTCAGAATGGGTGGGCTTGCTGTGTAGTATGAGCCTTGGGCTGTAAGCCTGCGACCCCTCTTGCAAGTCTTCCTCCACCCGGAAACTCAGGGTTCAGGTTTTCAGGGGGTTTAAGGTTCAGGGTGTAGGCCTCGGCAACCCAAATAGCAGAACACAAACAAGAGATTAGGCATGCTTTCGACACATTGGACCTGTCTTATGAAAGACTTGACTGAACAGAAGACAGGCGGCTTTGAAACAAAGTTGAACCATAAGTTCAAGGCCAAGCTGGGATACAAAATCTGCAACTTTCTGTACATATGTATACATGCATCCCAACCCAACCCAACCAAGGCAGTCCCACACGCCACTTCCTAAACCACATTGAGACCGCAAGACGCAATTCCTCGACCACTCCGGAAGCTGCAGTTCGAAGTTCGAAGCCTCAACGGCCTGAGCCCTTGAACGAAACCCTGAACGGTCTTTCCGAGATGAGGGGCTTCGGAGGCTCTCTGTTTGAGGGCTTTGGGGTCATTGCAGGTTTGAGGTGTTCAGGGCTTTCAGGCTTGAATTTGGGACTGCAGAGTTGTGGAGTTTAGGGTTCCAGGATTTTCGAGGCTTTAGGTCCTAAACCCTGAACCCTAAACCCGATTCTCATGGTTGAGCGCACTTCGGGGTTTAGGTCCCTGAAGGTCCACAGGTTCCCCCACCTCACCACGGTGCTGCTGGACTTGGAGAAGGTGGCGGCGCTCTTCTGCCAGGATCTCTCCTATACTGAACTTGGACCCCTAGCAAAAAAAGTTATATAACGCACATTACAGATACGGTATATGTTACATATAATATTTGTTAAAAACTGTTATTAATTACAGGAACCAAAGATTCAAAACATATTTCTGAGTATCCCTAAGTGTCGTCCGAGTCGTGCAGAGAGCCTCCTAAGGATCGGTGCAGCACTGTCCTTGGCGGGAGACATCTGGGGACCTACATTGACTAGAAAAGTATCTAGTATTGTAGAGTCTTGTATGTTCACCAGTGGTCTACGGTATTAGTATAGTATGATCTCGGACAGTATAGCATAGCATAGCATAGCAGTAAAGTCCAGTCTTTCTCTCATACCTTATTTTAGTACATAGCACTCTCCAGGGGTATGGCGGCATCAGATGCTCAGGCTGCTAGAATACCCAGGTTGCTCTCTTGCGATGCCTGGTTTATCGCACAGCCCTGCTGAGTTTTCAACAGGCTCACGGGACGCACGGCCACGTCATGCAAAGCAATATCGGGGCCTTATTATTTGGCATCGAGCTTTGGGGTATATTGTTTGGCCTATAAGAAGGAACCCTCATGAATAACATTGGTAATTACTGAGGCTCCTAGAGTATGCTACGACGTAGCAGCCACATATATTCCAACAGCTTAGCAATCCCGACACCAAGCCTCAGACTCCCAATCCGTAAGAGCCGTAAGACCCCAAACCCTCATAGTAAACCAGAATACATGCCTTACAGAAGCCCCTTGTGCCATCCATGCAGAACCCATACCCTAAGGCTCTAAGGACTCATATTTTAAGGCTTTTGGGCCTAAAGACCATATTATAAGGCTTTTGGGTCATTTTGAGCCTTAGGGATAAGGACGACTGGTGCTTTGCCCAGGAGCAGCAGCCCCTTGAGGTCGAAGGTCGAAGTTGCTCCCGGACGTCGCGCGCTCTTCGGGCAGACGCTCTCACAGCTGCCGGGAGTTTGCCCGCAGTCCTCAATCCAAGGGTAAAAGGAGGGACCCTTAATAAGGACCCCTAGGTATATACCCTTACTACAGCTATTATATACCCATTATATAGCCCATGATAGGGTAGGGGTCCCCATTAAGGGTGCCTCCTTTTCCCCTTTTGACTCAAGTTAGGGTTTAGGGTCCAGGGTGATTCAGAGGCGTGCCGTACTTGGGCTCTTCGTCGTGGTGTTGGGTTTCGGCAGGAAGCAAGATGGAGGCAACATGACCCCGCAAACCCTACTTAAAGGTTCAAAGGGATCTATAGGGATTCCTTAGAGGGATCTATAGGGGTTTAGGGTTTAGGGTCTACTTAAAGGTTCATGGGTATGGTTGTAAATAAGGTAACTATACTTATAACTGGATATAACCCCAGTTAGGGCACTTATAACTCTACTTACTAAGTCCCATGAACCCCAAAGTAAGCCCCAAACCGCCATCAACGAACTCCACAAGCCGAGAGTCGAAACCGGGCTCCCCCCTGCCTTGCACATCGTCGCCGTCGCAATCACAGAAGCCCGAGACCATGGAGGGGAGCTTCTCGGAACAGAGGCGATCTCCTGGGGTTGAGGGTTTACCTATAGTCTCCATTGTAGTTCCTTTTGGGGTTACCTTTTTAGGATCCTTGATATAAACCTGGTTAAACCAAAAAAAAAGGAACTACAATGCAGGGGAGCTTTTCGGAACAGAGGCGATCTCCTCGGGTTTAGGGTTCACTTGAAGGTTCATGGGACTTAGTAACTATGGCTATAAATAAGGCAACTATACTTACAAATGGATATAACCCCAGTTGGGGTACTTATAACTGTACTTACTAAGTCCCATGAACCCCCAAGTAGGGTTGGGGGTTTTAGATTCATTAGAGGTTAATCTCTTTAGATCCATTAGAGTTTTAAGGTTTATGGGAAGAGAATTCGGAGCCAAACCCCTAAGCCTGTAATTATCCCCGAAGTCCTCCAAACCCCAGAGACCGCTTTATGCTAACCCTAAACCCCGACCTAAACCTCGGCAGAGTCTCTCTCCGGCTCGCGCACACCTTTGGCACTGCAGCTGCCCGTTTGCCGCCACATGCACGACACTGCCTGGTCTGAGACTAAAGAACCTCTGATACAGGGCCTTGATAATTTGGAGTGAGGTTTTTGGAAGAACATTACATGGAATTCACTGGCCTCTATACTGCACAAGCTTCCACATTCATGGTCGGGCTCAGCCGTTTAGGGTTCTTCTGTGGTTTAGCCAGCTTTATAATTAACATAAGGGAACCCACAAAAGAATCTAATTACAATGGAGACTGTAGGTGGTCTTTTGGGTGCAGCTTGCTCGTGCACGGTCGTCGACGTTAGACCTAGCGCGTCATGCTTTGGTTCGGATTGGGGTCTGGGTGTCGATTTTAGGGCTTGGGCCTATAAGATTCAGGAATGGTCTTGCCTCACCCAAGCTTTCGTGAAGTCGTGCCAGAAGCTTGCCGGTAGGTTCGCGCACATGGAAGTCCATCTTCTCCTCTCCCACCTCTAGCAGCTTCGACCGGCAGTGTCTCATGCGCGTGCGTGTCACATGTCTGTGTGACCATGCGCTTGTAACGACAAACCCTTCTAACCAAGTGATGTACCGTGTTACATACTTTGTATATATATATATATATATTTATCTATTATTTATTTATGTTATGCATATCTTATACATATATACATGTGTATATATATATATATATCAAACATAACAGTCATTTACATATACATAGCCCGCGCCTCTTTGGTGTAGAAGCTCTGCAGCTTGCTCAAGAACCGGATCTGCGGCAGCGCTTGTGGCCAGCCAGGTGTGAAGACCAGCAGTATCCTGGGGCTTACTGTTGAGTGTCGTGCGGCTTTCCGGCCATGGGCCTAAGCCTCTCCGTCTCGCGGCAGAGTTTTGTTCGGTTGCTGCTAGGAGGGTAACGAGTAACAGATACCGATTAAGCAGATGAAAAACAACATGTGCTGGAACATCGCCTTTCTATACGATATACTGCAGATATATTGCTTGCCGTCGTTTTAGCTTTCTTTGCCTTCCTTTCGGCTGGCCCACTAGCTTTGTCGGGATGGGGCTCGAGGTCTCAGTTACTCACTGGCCCAAAACCCAAGGAAATACAAGTAGAAACTTTCAGAATCGACTACCTTATAAGAACCCCAGAAGTTGAAAAGTTGAGCTTACAGCCAACAAGGTTATTTCCTACAGTCTCCGTTGTAGTTCCTTTTTTGGGTTACCTTCTAGGATCCTAATATAGCGTTGGTTAACCCAAAGAAAAAGGAACCCTAAACCCTAAGTCGACGACTTAAGAGTTCGGGAGTGAGGGTTTAGGGTTTAAGGGTTTCAGGGCCCTTCACTCGGAGGCTCGGCGCACCGAGCATTTCTGAATCGAAGGAAAGAGAGATAGATGATCAGATAAGTAGAATGAGAGATGCATGGAGCAAAACCAAGGAAGCTAGACAGATCCATAGACAACAGCGAGGTAGATAGATATGGAACAAGACAGACGAAAAACATACACGGATCCAGGCATAGAGAGATAGACGGACAGACAGGCATGCAGACAGAAAGGCAGACAGAAAGATAGGAGGAAGGCTAGGAAGAAAGAGCTCCAGCTTGAGCTGGAAACAGGGAGACAGAGAGAAAGAATTACAGAGACGGCTACACATGTAGATACAAAAAGAGAAACGAATAAAGAATCAAGATACAGACACAGATGTGCATGTACATATAGATACTGATATATTTACGTGGATACAGACGCAAATCTGGACAAGGGTACAGATACATATGTTTGTCTAAACTTTATGATAGTAAAGACAAAGGTATAATCACCCTGAGCGTCAAACTGTGACTTTCAACACCAACAGCACAAAACTCCGCAGGGCGTCCGTTGAGGCCTTTGGTAAGCCGCGCTGGCGTTCGCCGCTGCGGTCAGGTCCTTTTCTCGGGCGTTTGGGAGTTTGGGATAGGGCTCTACCCGTGCATCTTTATCTGGACGACTACGGATAAAGTCTGGAAGCCCGACACTCAACCCTCCCACTGCTTCACTGCAAACCTGCCGCACTTGGAGCTTCAAGAGCAGGAGCCAGGACATGACTAGAGTCGTCTGGTCTACCCGACGATGATACCATACTGGCGGTCTTGTGCTCACAAACAACATCCATGCAGGGCTTGGGTTTGGGGCTCCGGGTTCGCAGTGTTACAAGATGCTACTCCCACATGCACCACGAGGGGCTGCAACCACACCCCGACACCGCCAGACACCACAACATGACTCACACCTGGGGCTGTTTCCGACTGAACACATCGCGCAGTCCGATATTTCGCAGCAGCAGCCTTTAAATTTGTTTACAGGTTAGCTGCCTGCATGCGTTTAGAAAGTGTATGAGATCATGCGACGCATCTCGCGCATGTTCAAGAGGATCAAAAAGAAGGCTCAGCGCTGGGACGCCTTGACCACATCCTTGAAGTCCATCAATGCCTGGTAAGCTGCCTTGGCATCCGCCGCATTTACCTTGGACATCATGTAAGGGCCCACATCCTTGCCAAGGTTGAACTTGTTGAAAGCATTGTACACGTCCATGGTCTGGGATGCAGGCACCGAAGCGATCATATGCCCGATGGCCGCATTAATTGCAGTGTAATCGGCAAGAGTCGCGACACCCTTGGAGTCCATGCCGGCAATGGCCTTGCTGTGAGCCAGAACACCCGATTTCAGAGCTGCGGAGTCCATGGATGCACCCATCTTCAACATCGTGTTGATCGCCTTGAGCACCTGGAGAGGAGGCTGGGTGGGGAGCTTGGCATAGACGTCGGAGGTCCAGTCGATTTCTTTCAAGAAGGGGTAAGACTTCTCAGACAGCACCTTTGCTGCGTCGTCGATCTTGTCCGCGAAAGCAGGCGCTGCGCCCAGCATGCTCAGTGCCCCTGCAGCTGCAGGCGCCATGCTGCGAGCTGGGCGAGCAGGCCCCGGCACAAAGGCTGGGAGGCTGCAGAAGCAAACTCCCAAGGCCAGGATCGAAATCACGCGCACAGCCTTTGCCATAGCTTGCTTTCTGTGGTCCCTCGGCCTGCTCTCTGAATGCCTTTGATCTCGAGCCTAAAAGCCAATGCAGCCCATGCGCCTGAGCAGCAAGGCTGAAAGCAGGCGCCCTTCTCCCCTTACTCATCTGTGAAAGCACTTACATGTTCTCGCTTTCCCTGGACCCTAAGCCCAATGCCTTACTGATCAGAATCTGGTTGTAGTTTTTGGGGCTCTGAAAAGTATTTATGGATAGGTTCCTCTATAGGGACCATAAACGGAAATTAAAAAGTTTCCCAAATTGCCACCCAGGAATAGGATTTTGGGGCCCATTATACTATGATCATAATAAGGAAACCGTCACACTAGTATCGGCAACTATTGAGGCCCCTATAGTAGCTCAGGGCCCTACTAACCCTGAGGGACTATACGGTCTCGGGGTGTCGAGGTTTGATCATGTCAAGTACAACTGCAAGAGCTCACTTACATGATATAGGAGCCACAATAACTGCTTGAATTGCATAGAATTTGGGGGTATATGAGTATACCTAAACTAAGGAACCCAAAGGAATAATAAGGTTATTGTTTAGACTTCTACAGTGGCCAAGCGAATCATTGACACCAGGCTTCTGCGGGCCCAGGCCCAATTAAAGCTTTGAAGTCTAAAGGATGAGAACCGGTAGGATGATATGGAACCAAAATGGGTAAAGACGAACCACTCAGCTACTACGGTTGATGATATAAATCCTGCATTACCCATAATAAGGAATATACCATAATTCCCATATATTCCCTATTATGGGTAATGCAGGATTTATATCATCAACCGTAGTAGTAACTACCCTAGACCCTAACCCTGAAGGGCCAAGGTCTGGCTGCGTCCGCCTTTACATCCAAGCATCCACCTTTAGCCGCCAGGGCCCTGTGCCCACCGCCGTGTCGCAGAAGGCATGGATCTGAGTTCAGGTTTAATAAGGATTCATGGGTTGTATGGGGTTCCAAAGGGGTGTGTAGAGTTTGAAAGTTGTGTATGAGGCTTTGAACCAGGAGCACAAGGCCAAGAAGGCTAGAGTCCCGCCGCAGAGGACCAAGCCTAGCATCCCCGAAGCCTCCATACTTAGGGTCTGGGATGTAGAGGTTGTGGCCAGGGTTTTCTTATTAAGGGTTTAGGGTTTAGAACTTGAACTTGAGGTTTCGGGGGTCAGCATATGGGGCTCTACTCAATGAGTCAATGAAAGATAAACCCGAGAGCTTGCCCATGTCCGACTCATACCAAACTTCGAACCCGCAGCTCTACACCTGTGAAACAAAACTGGACGGAACTGCTACTGCAAAGATCCCAGAATGGAAGGTAGCAGAAAGCTGCGGCACAAGTCCACAGAGGGCCTCCGCATCCCAGAGCGGGCTCGTGGCATTCACTTCCTGTCCATTCTTGGGAGCAAAGGTGGCAAAACAGCGGTCCCTGGTGGTAGCAGCAGAGGAGTAGTAGTAGTAGCAGCAGTAGTAGCAGTAGCAGTAGCAGTAGCAGTAGCAGTAGCAATAGCAGTAGCAGTAGCAGTAGCAGTAGCAGTAGTAGTAGTAGCAGCAGCAGCAGCAGCAGCAGTAGTAGTAGTAGTTATAGTAGGAGTAGTAGTAGAAGCAGTAGCAGTAGCAGTAGCAGTAGTAGCAGTCAGTAGTAGCAGAATTTTAGGGTATTGGGACTCTTCGAGGCTATTCGAGGGCAGCTCGTAGGGAAGTTTAGGGACCAGGGTATCTGCTTGCTTGGACATCAGGGCACGGAGTGGAACGCCCCATCCGAAAGCCGCGAAAGTCCTGAAGCCAGCAAGTGCCCTTGAAAGGATCATAGTAGTGGGATGAGTTCATCTGTAATATGAGGCCGGTAGGAGAGCTGGGCTTGAAAAGCCTCATGCAGGGAAAAGCTGACTACAGTTCGATGAGAAGGACCTAGACACCACATCCACAGAGTCTTTGAGAGACTGCCCGCCCGAAGGAGGGTCGTACCCGAAACCCTAAACCCTATGCCAACGCCACCGAACCCTGCCGCTCACGTCCTTGCGGAGGCGCAGACGCCGCTTCTTGCCTAGACTTCGCTAGGTTTGGCTTTTGGGCTTCCTGTTACAATGCTTGGCGAACCCGTTGTCGTGTAGGCTCTGAAGGGTTCTGCACTTCTTGCTAGATTGCACGAAGCCGAAATAATTTTGGATGAAGATTCCTGGTTTCTTGACTCCGCAGGAGCTACAGCGGAAGACTCTTGGAAAAGGAATTCGACGGCATTGAAACGATCACCATGTCTCTGCATGAACTGCCTTAACCTTCTGACCATACGGGACACGTGCCCGCATGCTCCTATTGAAAGATTCTGGTGATTAGCAGGCCACGGCCCAAAGAAGCGGACGGTAGAATTTCTGGGCTGCATTCATCGGAACTGCGGAGAGAGCGAGAGAGAGCGAGAGAGAGCGAGAGAGAGCGAGAGAGAGCGAGAGAGAGAGAGAGAGAGAGAGAGAGAAAAAAAAAAAAAGAGAGAGAGCGAGGGAGAGATGCTACTTCCAGGCTCATGAGAAGCCGGAACCTGAAGGAATCTAGCGGCCTTAGAGTACATCTAGAAGAAGGAACCCGAAGAATAATTTTTGCAATTGTTTCGGCGCTATCCGGAGCCACTCCTACATCCGGCAGGCGCTCCAGAAACGCCCAGCCACGCAGACTCCGGAAATGACTAGATAAATTTAGAGTTTACCCGTCGTCTCCGTTGTAGTTCCTCTTTCTGGGTTGTCTTATAGGATCTTGAATATATGATCGGTTAAACCAAAAGAGGAGCTACAACGCAGCCTGTAGGTGGGGTGCACAATGGGAAGCATTGCAGCTTAGCCACTCAAAGTCTGGCGCGCTTCGTAGAGCTTACCAAGCTTGGCAACAAAAGGGGGCGGCTGCGATCTGAGCGCCGCGACGTCTTGACATAAGCGAATCCAGCCAGATGAGTTTTGGCTCGTCTCTCCTTCCGCATATGCCAAGTTGGAGAGGAAAGCAAGGAGCAGAACCGCCCTCAGCATGCCCATGGCATCAGATCGCGTGCATGGTGCACGGTTTGGACTGTCGCTTGCAGTATAGGCCCTCAGTAGGTTGGGTGGAGCTCCCCATGAGTTCCCACCAATCTCTTTAAGCGGGAGCACTCACTTCGGATGGGGACTTTGATATGATAGCAATAAACACAACAGCAACATTGGCAATAGCAATAGCAAGAATAAGCATGAGAGCATGTATAAGCGAATGAATAACATAGCAATAGTAACAGTAACAAGAAACATGACGACAAGACAGAACGATAAAACGATGGCAATAATAATATTGATAATGTTTGATAACACAGTGATGGCAACTGTAAGAATTACACTGATAATCACGCAATCACACTCATAGTCATGACTTTTATACGGGCAAAGCCATGACTTGACGATAAATCGACTCATCATCTACTTGCCATCTGACAAGGACACCCGCCTTGCGCTGTCTATGCAAACTTCAATTCGAGCAGCTGCGGGCGGGGAGCCAATGGTCAACAGAGTTCGCAGCATGTTACTGCACTGCTCTCGTCCAGCACCGACATGTTCAACACAGCAGTGGACTGAGTAGTAGTGATCTCGCAGAGCCCACGGGAAGCCTTAACCCCTCATGTTCCTGCAGGATTCACACTGCTTCCCGCCTTCGGATTCGAGGCATTGCAGGTCAGGGCCTGGCTATGGTTATGGAGGGTTTCAGTTCAGAACGCTGCATGAGCATGTCATATCCGGGCCTTGACACTTACATAAGAATAGCGTTTTGAGATTAGGTGCCTAAGAAATAGTAATACTGATAAGTATCACAAGTATCCCGACGCGTATCGTACGGTAGGACTGCTTGGCTTGAAGTGCGCACTGTGGCTTCCGATACCTGGAAGGATTGATCAGGGAGTCGGAAAGCTTGGAGGTTGATACTACAGGGGCCTCAATAATTAGAATAGAGTTTGACGACATATTACACCCAAAAAACAACAAGGAACCCACAAAATGATCCAGGTAATTATTAAGGCCCCTATATTGGGGTGTAGAGTTTTTGGCTGAGCTTCTTTGCATCGGGTGCTCCTTGAGACTCTGTCTCGCCAGTCTTGCAACTGTTTTCAGGGTTTAGGGTTTAGGATTTTGGGTTCAGGATTGGGGTTTAGGAATTGGGGTTGAGGATTTTGGGTTCAGGGCTTAGGGTTTAGTGCACCGAAACTCAGCATCCTCGACAGGACTCTGGTCTTATGTTGCTGCTTCTGCTGCGGAGGTTCTGGCGATGAGGAAGTCGCAATATGCAAGCTCATGCTTAGACTCTAAACCCCAGAACTCTACAATCCTAAACCATCTGAACCCGCTAGACCCTAAACCGAAACAATGCCAAGCAACCAGCTGACACCCTGGCCGCCTGGCTGCAGTCGACTTCTGCATCTGCCCACTGCCGCATCTTCAGCCGGGCAAAGGCCTTCAGCAAGCGCGAAGAGGACCCAGACAAGGGTTTAGGGTTTAGGGTTGAGACTGCTGTCATCGCGGTAACTGCGTTCGTCATCATCGTCGTCATCGCTCTCACTTGCGGCGGCAGTGCTAGGCAACGACAGGCGTAGTTGGAGTCGGAGTTGTGGTTACAGTGACAGAACGCACTAGGCGAGGGAGTCACTTCGGGAAGAGGGACCATGGCGGGAGAAGGATTTGCAAGAGAAAGTGAGCACGGAAGCGCGGCGAGAAAGGGATGCCACAAGGAGGAGCTGGTCAGGAGCGCGACTCCTAGAAACACACCTGCCAGCACCCGTAATGGCATCTCGTCATGTCGGTTGTGCGTCACGTCAACGTTCCGCCTATGCACATGTATTGGCTTTCTACTTGGAGGATCATGGGACTTAGTAAGTAGGGTTATGGGTACCTTAACTGAGGTTATAATAAGTCATTGTAACAGTAGTTACTTTACTTATAACCCTACTTACTAAGTCCCATGATCCTTTAAGTAGAGAAGTCTCAAAAACGCATCCATGCAGGCCCCTCCACTGCAAAATCTAGAGCTTCCGGCTCACAGGATTGGTCTTGGCACGGGCTTTTGGCGGTAGAGTTTCAAGGTACCCTGCAAATCCTGAGAAGTACCATGCTTGGGGGTTCAAGGGACTTAGTAAGTACAGTTACAAGTACCCTAACTGCGGTTATATCCTTTTATAAGGGTCGGTACCTTCTCTATAACTCTATAACCATAGTTACTAAGTCCCATGAACCTTTAAGTACAACAAGCCCTCCAGCCAAAGCTCCGCTGGCCCCTCCAAACCTCACATCGACGTTACGATAGATTCTTGGCCTGCGCACGGAAGACCAAAACCCTCAACCCTCAACCCTCAACTCTACGCTACTACTACTACTACTACTACTACTACTACTACTACTACTACTACTACTACTACCACAACTACTACTGCTACTACTACTACTACTACTACTACTACTACTACTACTACTACTCTAAACCCGAAACCCTTCGTCCTGGAATCCTAAACCCTGAAGTCTTCACCTTGAAGCCTGCAATCCTAAACCATAATTTCAAATTAAACACGAAACCCGAACTCCTGAAGCATCCTAAACCCTAAACTCGCTACCCTTAATACTTTGCAGCCCGAAGACGCGATTCGAATGTAGGATGGCACGCAGAGTTGCTGTGACCTTGGGAAAGGCATGGATATAAACTTTTCAAGAGTCGAAAGCTCAGGGCTTAGGGGTTTAGGATTGAAGGGTTGCTATAAGGACAAACGTTCCCAAACCCAGATTTGCGGAAGATAGGCCCCTATAGACCCTAAAGACCTAAACCATAAACCCTAGACCCTACACCCTGAAATCTAAACCCTAAACCCTAGACCCTAGACCCTGAAACCTAAACCCCAAACCCTAGACCCTAAACCCTGAACACATGGAGTTTGGCACCAGGTTTCGTGGGAGCTGGGATCTCCTTCTTACGATCAACCGAAGGGTTTAGGCTTTCGGGGTGTAGGATAGGGTAGCTCAGTGTGACTGGAGAAAAAACCCAAAGAAGACACTAAGTCAATTAGCTCCGACACATATACCGAAAATTCCTCAGCCAAACCATCCGTGGATTGAAACAGCAATAGCACAGCCAGAAAAACCGACAGGCTGATTCGTACTGCATGTAGACTAGTGTTATGATGATTGTGACGGTTGCTATGACGAATATTGGTAGTTCAGTGCTCGCTTGTCATGGTATGGCTTACCTTGGCAAGAAGTTGATGGGGGGGTTAAGATTCTTCGGGTGGGGATTCCTTGATATGAACCCTAACATGGGAACCTAATCCCTACTAAACCCCTATAGGCTAAAACCCGTTTGGCCTCCTATGAGAAGCCAACCGAGGTCGGGGCACCAGTCACATATCCTGACTCCTCAACCAGCCAGATCGCTTTGGAGAACCATCTGCGACATGCGGGTCTCAGAGCACCGGAAGGTTCTAGGGTTGGGGGATTTCAATTTTTAGGCTTGAACTAGAGCTTTTAAGTTGGCGTTCAGGGATGAGATTTCTGCATCTCAATGCCGAGGATGTGGGGGCGGCAAGCCATGGTGGTCACGTTCAGTTGTAAGAGACCTGCTAAGTATAGTTCCACCCGCACAGCACACACGTGCTGCAAAAAGCTTGCATGCACGTTTACATGCCTTACACTCATTCGTACAAAGCGATGAAGAAAACTTTAGGTGTGTTGCGTCAATTGGTACATACATTACATACATGCGTGCAGACAATTACACACAGACGGCCACACACATCTGCACAATGCTTGGACGTGTGCACTATGTGTTTGGCTTCTTTGCTAGAGTGTAAGCGCTGAATCATGTATGCACGGGCGCCCCCCGCAAGTTTTCGCGCGGATTCAAGAATCTGTCTGTATGTACATATGTATGTATGCAAATGTGTATACTCGGTGTACGTATCTGTATATATATATATATATATACAAATACATGTACAGATGAATACACAGACATGCATACACATACACACACACACACACACACACACACGCACATACAAACGTACATGTGTGTATAAACTGTCGTGCCTCCGCCTTTCAGGAAGACCCAGGTCATGTAGGGGCCTTACTTGAAATTCTGTATGGATGATGAGGGGACTCTTTTTAGGGTTTTGGGTTTAGCCATCTTCTTCCTATTTATTCAAGACCCACACGTAATGCAAACGTGTCAGTGCCCGGGAGCGTTGCCTGGCAGACTCCTCGATGCTGCCTCTGCACCGCACTTGAGATGGCGGGCTGAAGGGGCTTGGGTTAAGGGGTTTTAAGGTCTAGGGTTTTAGTGTCTAGGGTTCAGGGCAGAATCACCTGAACTCCAAGAAACTGCACGGTCACGGTAACCCCGAAACTCTGACTCAATCTTAAACACAAGTCATGGAGCGGGTTGTAGTCTGAAGCTATTCGTGTCTTTGCTGTCTGACGCTTAGGTCGACGTTTAGCAATGACAGGCAATGAAAGATGATACTCGAAATCCATGGTGAAGCTTGATGGGCTGCAATGGGAGATAAAATCAACTCTTGTCAAGACGAATGCGGGCTCTCCTGGTTACAACAGATAGAATACAAGAAGCTTCCATGTGCAAACGTGCATCTACAGCAACTGCGGTCGAATGCATGTAACATCAGCTGTTGCTCTCCGGAGTTCCCCCTGTCAATCCGTCAAGCCCTTCATCCCTTGACTTTTGCAGATGTCGCACTTGCAAACCCCACGTTCTTGAGCATCTCCCAAGCACTCCATAACTCCTGGTTCATGGTTGGGATCGGATTAAAAATGTACATTTGTATTCCTTATTGGGTTTAAGTAACCATAAAAATCTAAAATGTCACCCAACTATGACAAAGAACTCCTCCGGTCCCAGATAGAGATCTCAAGCTGCAGAGCCGAAGAGCCTGCGGCAAAGAGGCGGTTTCCCTCCTCTTTGGCCTGCACGTGCAAAGAAGATTGGAAGGTTGAGCTAGGGTTCAGGGTTTAGGGTT